TAAATCCCTATAATCATATAGCTTATATTTAATTGAGCAATAAAAATATCAGAATGAACAATAAATATATTGAATGAGAAATAATTAATTCAGATTAGAGATAAATTGTATATAAAAAGTGCAATATAATTTCTGATTGTGAAGGGGACAGTGACATGGATCTACTTTTTTGTAATAAACAGTGAATAGATTAAAAAAAGGTAGAAAATCAAAATAGACGAAAATGGGTTTGGGTCCGGGTCTGAAATTTGGTCCATATAATAATAATTTATCAATTTTTTTAAATTTTTGTTCGTTTTATCCAGAAACTTTTAATCAGTCGGATACGCATTCTGACCCAGGTTCATACATTTTTGGACCCAATGCGCTCTAGTCTGGGTTGTAGTTTTTCTCTCAGCTCATATCAACGCACAGACCTAACAGAGACAAAACATATGGAAATCGGCAGAAAAAGCAAAAGAGACTGACCATCGAAAGCAAAAAGAGCTTCATTGACAGTGATATATTTCATTTTCTATTTTTGTTATTGACAATTGTAAATAAAAATAATGTAGTTTTTCTTTTTTTTACTGTTAAAATATGAAATTATTACTGCTTTTTAATGAGTTATTTATTGCGCATTCTATATATGAAATGACTCAAATGAATACAAGCCTAATCATATCAATTCTAAATATCATCATAAGATTCTAATAGGTAGGTTTGAAAACGTAACGCACAGATCATTGTTTAGAAATAATGATATCCATAAACATATAGTTGTATTACGAATGGATGTAAGTCAGGATATTGTACAGTTTATAATAATTGTAACAAGCGCATCGTCTGCGGTGCTTCAAATAACTATGGTTCTTGTTGAGGATCTAATTGTTCATTTTATAATAACATCGAAAGACAAAATCTTTTCATTATCGCCATTAAAATATTGAACAATAAAATTATTAAAGATCTAAAATTATAAATTTCAAAGTGATTAATAAAAACTTATCACAAAATCACCAGCTGCCACCTTACCACCAATAGTCAAATGATTAAGTACTTTATCAAGTTCGTCTAAGCACATATCCTTTTGTACAACAACATCTTCATCTGTTGATTCTGATAAAATAGTAGAAATGTCAAAACCATACGCCATAATAAAAACTTCGACGATAACGACCTTTAAAAGTGTCAATGATACTTTCTAACTGACTATCAGATGGATGTATATAGGTGTATTATCTTAACATAACACGATTTTACGCTGTTGCTTACCGATTACTGTGCCGAAATCTAGTAGTCGAAAATTGAGGGTGCTACTGTTCATTCATGCTGTTCCGTTGTTGAACCATGTAACAGCGACAACTTTTTCACATTCATATTTTCATAGCATATTTACTTAGATGCTTTTCCTGGTCATATGAAAGAGGTAACATGCTTATATGGAATGCAAAAACTAAATAGTCACTCACCGATAAAGACTGATTTCAATTCATTGGTATCAGCCTGATTCCCACAAAGAAGAATAGTAAATATTTCTTTCGATCGTTACTATCACGGAAAAAGGATCGATCAGACATTAACTTGAAAAATAAACCTGTTACATCAAAGTTATACACATCACTTGAAGTATTATCTTTCAGAATTGTCGATAGGCGACCCTTCCAATCTTCGACAGTATCACCAGAAATAACTCCAAATATATTATTGTATCGAGTTCTAAAACGATTTAAAAACATCCATTACTTTTGTGAAACACGATCTGAAAGGAGTATTGAAGTATATAGGGTAGAAATTTGAACCCTCCTCCCCATCGACCGTGACAGAGAAATTAATTAATTAATTAGTTTCTCTGTCGCGGTCTGTGATGGTCTCTACCGACTTCATAGATCAAAACGCAGGCCGTGGTAGACGAGTTTCAGCAAAGCAGTTTCATCGTGTTTCACATTTTAATCCCATAGGGATTGCGCTAACAGCTTTTATCATATGAGAATAAGGGGAACTTCTCTTGCATATTCTTTAAATTTCTACTTCAATTTATTGTTAGAATTGAGCAATGGAGAAACAGCAGATTCCAGTCAAGTGGAGTGAAGCGGAGTCACATGGAGTTTCTTAAAACTTTTCCGATTTTCAGACGCCCGTTATACAAAATCTTCTATGGCTATTTTTTTATTTGCTTTCATTTCATTTATAATAACTATCCAATGAAATAGGAATTATCCTCGATTTAAAGCAAGGAGACAGAGCTTGGTTAGTGTTACAGAGACCCCGCTGTAACTTAAAT